AAAAAAAAAAAAAAAGAAAAGAAAAAAAAAGGCCTAAGGGTCTTGCCTAGGTATTTAACAAAAAACTCAGCATACATTTACTGGGCACTTACTGTGCAGGAAATCCAGAGAATAAAATGCAACTCCTGGCCTGGCCGGGTGCAGTGGCTCACACCTCTAATCCCAGCACTTTGGGAGACCAAGGCGGGTGGATCTTGAGGTCAGGAGTTCAAGACCAGCCTGGCCGACACAGTGAAACCCTGTCTCTACTAAAACCACAAAAATTAGCAGGGCGTGGTGGCACACACCTGTAATCCCAGCTACTCAGGAGGCTGAGGCAGAAGAATCACTTGAATACAGGAGGCGGAGCTTGCAGTGAGCTGAGATTGCACCATTGAGTGAGATTCTGTCTCAAAAAAAAAAAAAAGGAACTCCTGCTCTGAGAGACAGATAAGAAAACAGGCAAGAGCAGAGAGTAGGTGCAAAAACAAAAACACATACTGAAACCAACGCAGCATAGGGAAAGGTGGTGGTCAGGGAAGGCTTCTTGGAGGAGGCAATGCCTGACTTGGGTCTCAGAGGATACACAGAAGTGCTCGGTTCAACACAGATGAGAGGGAACCCAGGCAAGCTCAGGGAGTTAAGAAACAGCCTGGCTTCCTGGGGGTGGGTGGGTATCTGAGGTTCAGTATCAAGAAGCCAGATGTTAAAGATGAGGCTAGAGATATAAGCAGCAGCCACTCCTCGATTGGAAACTGTGCTGTCTGCCTGAGGGTCAAATTCAGATCAAGAGACCAGGGGAAAACCCTGGGTCTTCCCAGCATTCGATGGGCAGCCCACAGTATCCATCCATCCCGTCATGTTGATACACGTAATATACCATTTTCCTGCTGCTGGTCACTTTCAAGGCTGTTCCCAGTAGCCATTGCTATAAATAATGCTGAACTGAACAGCATCTCACTGAAATATCTGTATCCCTGCATTTTTTTGTTTTTTGAGACAAAGTCTCACTCTGTTGCCCAGGCTGGAGTGCAGTGGGCAGTGGTGCAGTGGCACAATCTTGGCTCATCACAACCTCTGCATCCTGGGTTCAAGTGATTCTCCTGCCTCAGTCTCCTGAGTAGCTAGGACTATAGGCGCCCACCACCATGCTTGGCTAATTTTTATGTTTTTAGTAGAGACAGGGTTTCACCATGTTGGTCAGGCTGGTCTCAAACTCCTGACCTCAAGTGATCCACTTGCCTTGGCCTCCCAAAGTGCTGGGATTATAGGCGTCAGCCACTGTGCCTGGCAGCTTTCTGTCCTTCAAACTATAGAGTCCTCATGAAAAAGTACGGCCATTGTTAAGGCTCTGGGTAAATACTGTCAGCCTGCTTTCCAAGGCTACTCTGGCTTCAACCCTCCTCGGCAACCTAAGGAGATTCCTCTCACTGCATCCCTCACCAGAACATTCATTTGATATGTGAAAATGATGTCTTCCGTTTGTACAAAATTAAGTTGTGCTCCCCCTCCTTTAGGTTGGAGTATCTACACACATTATTTGGAATTCTGCTGCACAAGGGATGGATCTCTTCTTCCTATTAATTTTTCAACCACTTACTTATATTAATACAGACTCATGGATATTTATGAGGTATTACTCGGGTATACCTTGAGTTATACCCAGTACTATGTCGGTTACTTTGTTCCTGAAATTTTACCAGCTTTGGTCACTGAGCAATCTTTCAGTTGGCTCGTGTGTCCTTTTGACATACACCCAGCAGGTTTTTTTTGAGTACTTCCTTCTGACATTACAAGATGCTCCAAGATTATTCTGTGTGTGTGTATATATATATATTTTTCTTTTTTTTTTTGAGACAGAGTCTTGCTCTGTTGCTCAAGCTAGAGTGAAATGGTAGATCTCAGCTCACTGCAACCTCCGCCTCTCTGTTCAAGCCATTCTCTTGCTTCCGCCTCCTGAGTAGCTGGGATTACAGGCATGCACCACCACGCCCGGCTAATTTTTGTGTTTTTAGTACAGATGGGGTTTTACCGTGTTGGCCAGGCTGGTCTCAGACTCCTGACCTCAAGTGATTCACTGGATTCAGCCTGCCAAGTGCAGGGATTATGGGTGTGAGTCACTGTGCCCGGCCTACCATGCTGTGTATTTTCTCAGTCCTGGCATCAGCCATTTCTCTGAGGAGCCCTGTTCCCTTCATCGGAGAATGGCATCAGAAACAAGACCTGGGTGCCAGGTGTGCCTGCCGTGTCTATTTTTTGTACAGGGTATTAGTGTTTTGTTTATTGATTTATATGAACTCTCCATATATAAAAATATCAATAGGAACTGGTTTTTAATTTCTCATTTGCCTTTTCATTTGCTCTATGACCAAACTGAAGCTGAAAAAACACAAGTTCAATAAAAATATGTTAAATGTAGTACAATCTGGCAGAATTTTCCTAGAGAGCCTCCAAAATCAAACAAATTATCCACTAAGTTCTTTTTATGGTTTCGTTTCTTACATTTCACTTTTATTTTCCCCACTGACTCCTGTGTGATGATACATTTCACTGTTTAACTTGCCTGGAATTAACTTTTATTTTTCATGCAAATAATTAACCCCCTCTGCCAGTATCACTTCTAGAAGAATCCTTTTTTTCTCAACTAAATTATAATACTTGCCTGTTATCTTAAATATCTTTTGTGTAAAATACCTATTTCTGAGCTTTATTCTATCCATCTTTTTTTGAGCTACTACTATATGTTTTAATATTCTTTCATTTAAAATGTTTACATATTCTCATGATATTGAAACTTTTATTGCAAAAATTTTTTTAAAACTAAACTCAAGTTAACTTTAAGGCTGTTCTCTGTTCCTTGTGTCTCCTTCTAGACACTCTACACAGAGAGGAGCAGATGTGTGTATTTATAGTTGTTTTCACTCAAGTGATAGTAACTTTACCTATCAATTCCTACTTTTTTTTCTTCACAGTACATCCTGGAGATGGATCTGCTTCAAATACGCTGTTTTTAAAGTTTTTTTGAGAAGGAGTCTTACTCTGTCGCCCAGGCTGGGGTGCAGAGGTGCGATCTCGGCTCACTGCAGCCTCTGCCTCCAGGGTTCAAGCAATTCTCCTGCCTCAGCCTCCCGAGTAGCTGGGATTACAGATGTGTGCCATTGTGCCTGGCTAATTTTTGTATTTTTAATAGAGGCAGGGTTTCATCATGTTGGCCAGGCTGGTCTCGAACCCCTGACCTCAGGTGATCTGCCCGCCTTGGTCTCCCAAAGTGCTGGGATTACAGGTGTGAGCCACTGCGCCCAGCTAAACATTTTTTTCTTTTTAAAATGTGTGGGGGTGGTGGGAGTGTTCCTTTTCTCAAATGAGATCCTGTAAGAAGCCCCAAAAGTAGAGAGGGTAAAAGTGGAGCTTCTCTGACTGAAGTGGGGGGGGGCGCTCTACAAAAAGCCCTTGGGGCATTGGGGGTTCAAAAAATTTTAATGCTTGAATCCCACTCTCGGAAATTGGAGTCCACCTGGAGAGACTCTGATTTAGGGTCTCTGGTGGGCTGGTATTCAGCACTTCCTGAAGCTCTCTGGGATTCCATGCCCAGCCAGATGTGGGAACCACACCTAGAACATCGAGAGCTCTGCCGAGACCTGGTGCAATCAACTACGCAGAAGCATGGTAAGGACGGGTACCTCGAGCTGTCAGCGCGGCTCACCCCGGAATGCCATGCCACCGTTCTCCACTGATGCAAGAATTTCTTAAAAAACAAAACAAAACAAAACAAAACAAAACAAAAACCTTCTCTAAAGGCTTATCGTTTCCTTCACTTTACCATATGTCTAAGTATTTTATATTTTTGATTTTTATTATGAATGGGATTTTTATAATTATGAATCTTTGTTTTATCTCATTATATTTTCTCTAATGATTATTATTTTGTTACATTTTTTATTTCCATAGGTTATTATTGATACATATCAAAAGGACTAATTTTTATTTTTATTTTGTAACTAGGCAGTTTTCTTAATTCTCTTACCGGGAATAATTTTTTTTTAACTTTAGGTGTAAGAAACTGACAATCATATTCTCTGAAAACAATGACACTTCAGTGTCCTGTTCTCCCAAGTCCTCATTTCGCCTTATTAATCCAGATTAACTAGGAGGAAGAGTGGTCACAGAGGGGCTGAAAATGAAACAAAACCCAATGCAGGAGCATATTTGAAAACAGTGGCTCTAGGCTGGGCGCGGTGGCTCACATCGGTAATCCCAGCACTTTGGGAGGCCGAGGTGGGCGGATCACCTGAGGTCAGGAGTTCGAGACCAGCCTGGCCAACATGGTGAAACCCCATCTCTACTAAAGATACAAAAATTAGGCAGGCATAGTGGTGGGCACCTGTAATCTCAGCTATTTGGGAGGCTGAGGCAGGAGAAGAGCTTGAACCCGAGAAGCAGAGGTTGCAGTGAGCCTAGATTGCTCCACTGCCCTCCAGCTAGGGCTGGAGCGAGACTCTGTGTCAAAAAAAGAAAGAAAGAAAACAGTGGTTCTCAGCCCCGGTTCTAAGCGAAAACAGCTGGATGACTCTGCGTATGGAATTTGAGGTTTGTCACTTCCCAGCTTCAAGACCTTCGCAAGCCTTTTAGTCCATAAAAGAGAAAGAACAAGCCATTTCCTCCCAGGTTGGTGTCAGGATTAGAGGAGCCACCAGAAGTGCCTGGCATAGGCACTCACATATAGCTTGGGCCTCTTCCTGATCATTTTTCCTGATCCAGCCTCACACATTTATCAGGGAGAGACACCCAGCGGAAAGTTAAATATTTGTGTATAAGAACTACAAGGGGATTTCAGGGCCAAGGGGGAAAGCTTTTCTCTTAAAGCCTTTTAGACATTTCTCCCACAGTCTGATTTACTCTAGAGGAAGTGGGATAGTCATGAAGTATTTTCCACGCAAAGCGAGTAGAAATCCTGAAAGAACACCTGCTCCCCAGCTGGGCTATGCGGGACTCCCCGTGGCTCTGCCTGACCCTCGTCCACAGCAGGAGGTGGCATTTCTGCCATGCCTGACCCTTGTCCACAGCAGGAGGTGGCATTTCTGCCACACCTTGTGAAGGAGGCTTTAGGGAGAGCAGTTCATAAACGAAGTCATAAATGTATCTTAGACACTTAGCAAATCTTTTTTTCCTGGCCACAGATGTGCTTCGGTAACAACGGCTAGAGGGAAAGGAATCTGCAGGGAAGCCACTCGGGCCACCACCAGAGGGCGAGTGCGCATTGCAGGTGGCGCCCTCCAGGAGGCGGGAGGACAGTGGTGGGATGGAAGCCTCTCCTGCAGGGCCACCCACGCCGTGGAGAAATCAGTGCCAGCTTGAATAATAGTCATGGCACTGTGCTGACCACTTCCTCGATAGTACGACACTTAACAGCCACAATCCGTGGGGCAGGTGCTATTACCATCTCCCCTTTCCAGGGAGGAAACTGAGGCTCCCAGAGGTGGGAAGTTTTGCCCAAAGTCACCAGGCCAGGCCTCAAGTCCAGGGCTCATCACAAAAGGCTAGAATGAAAGAACCACATGGATGTGGCCGCTGTTCACTGCGACACGAAGTGCATCGGCAGACACTCAATAACTAAGTGGTCAGTCACCAGACAAGTGGAACTACAAATGCCTCAGAATTAGAGGACAGTTTGATTTGGAAAGGAAGAAAGAGAAAGATGCTACGTTCACTGAATATCAAAGAAAACAAAGTTACCACATAATGAGGGAGGTTTTCATGGGGATGCAGGCCTGAAAAGGTCTGGGCTGAAAAAGACAATTCCAAAACCAGGAGAGATGCTGGTGGCAAGGGTCAGTCGAGCCAGCTCTGTGTAGCTTCAGCAGTGACAATGCTTCTCTTTTTGAATGAGCACATCGGATTTCTGACAACTCATTCTTCTGGTTGAATCCGTGTTGGTGATAACATCAGGCAGCTCTTGCCTCTGAGAATCCACAGGTAGATGCACAGGAGCCTGATTCTCTTCCTCAAAAGCTGCTCGTCTAGGCCGGGCTCCTTTGTCACTCCCTTTATTCCCAGCAGTGAGAGAAGAACGCTGGGGGCTGACTTCCTCAGAGAGTCTCTAGATTCATAAAACGCCAGTGACAACTGCAGGAACCGGTTCCCACTGAGGGACCCTCTGCCCAGATGTGAAGCGTTACTACACACCCTGTTTCTCTCTTGCTCAGTTCACAGAGGGAGACCCTGTCCCCAAGCCCCGATGAGGTCTGAGAAGAAGGTTCCACCAGGGGACCAGCAAATCCCCATTGACGTCAGCGTGCATGCACATTCCAGACAAAGGCAGAAAGGCCCAGAGCTTGCTAACCATATCAGTTCTGCTTGCTCTGACAGAAGCCAATGGAATGAAGGCTTTGTCTTTGCTTTAGCTGAACCCTTCTGCTGACCTGTTTACCCTGGTTAGACCTGGGCAGGCTGGATTGCTTGGGTCTGAATCCCTGAGTCTGGGGTGTCACCAGTTAATAATTAATTGGGTATTAGTTACAAGCAGGGGACACAGGCAGCATGAGTCACTGTCCCTACTCGGACAGGTCAAGGCCAAGCCAGGCTGTGGGTCAATATTACCTTGGCAATCTGGAATAATAACCTGCCCAAGGTTTTCTGCCCAAATCCTGACCACTCCCTGGATACCAGGGGGAAGTAGGGGAAGGTGACTCCCTAAGGCTGTCTGAGAACTTAGGAGCTGGCATCTTTCCTTTCTGCTTCCACATACAGTTTGAGGTCAGGAACAATAGTAATGTCCACAGACGTGACAAGCTATCAGCTCGTCCTTTTCCCAGATTAGAGTCTAATGATGGGTGGCCAATTTCCCACACAGCCGCTTCTTGGATAGCGCATCTTCTGACTGTTTTTAGCCTGAGGATTCATCCTTGAAGTAGAACCTTGGTCACGGCATGTCCTGGTTCAAAATAAAAACTGCTGCACAGCAATATTCACAGCAGCATTGTTCACAACAGGCCAATGGTGGAAGCCAGCCAAGTGTCTATCAGCAGGTGAATGGATAAGCAACAAAATATGGTGGGCAGATGCACAGAGGGATATTATTCAACCTCAGAAAGTGGGGAAATTCTGACACATGCTACGACATGGGTGAACCTTGAAGATACTATGCTAAGTGAAACAAGCCAGACACAAAAGGACGAATGTTACATGATTCTACTTATATGAGGCACCTACAGTAGTGAAATTAATAGAGACAGAAAGTAGAATGGTGGGTGCCAGGGGCTGCAGGGAGGGGCGCATGAGGAGATATTGTTGAATGAAGATGAAAAGGTTCTAGAGGTGGATGGTGGTAATGTTTGTACTGCAATCTGAACACATTAGTAGCACTGAACTGAATATGCAACATGATTAAAATGACCAATTTTGTGTTATATATATTTTACCACAATAAAAAAAATCTTTTTTGTTAGAAATGCAATTTCAAATACATACATACATCCTTTAAAATGCGAGCCTATCGTTTGACTGAAATATTTTTGTAGTCAAATCTTCATGAATCTCCCAATGTGAGGGGCCAGTTTAACAAGGAAGTCTTAGAAAGCTACAGAATATTGGTCAAGACTCAAAAGGCAGAAGAGAATTCCAGGCCTTCAGCTACAAGCTCACCTAGACAAGGTCAGCATTCTGAAAAATCGAGCCAGAAGGACAAGCTCACGGTCTTGACAGCCTTGTCAACCTTTCCTTTTGGTAAACCAAGTGCAGAAAACCATCTGTATTTGTTGGGACATAGCCCCTTTTTCTGCTGGAGTTCAGCTCCTTTGTTTTTTTAAGAGATGGCATCTTGCTCTGTTGCCCAGATTGGAGTACAGTGGTGCGATCATAGCTTATTGCAGCCTCAACCTCCTGGCCTCAAGTGATTTTTCCTACCTAACCTGCCGAGTATCGGGGACTACTGGTGTGTACCACCATGCCCGGCTAATTCTTTTCACTTTTTTGTAGAGATGGGGTCTCGCTGTGTTGCCCAAGATGCCCTTGAATTCCTGGGCTCAAGTGATCCTCCCGCCTTGGCCTCCCAAAGTGCTGAGATTAGAGGCATGAGTATGGCACCTGGCCAGAATTCAGCTCTTTTCATGTTCTCTTAATTCTTCTCGTGTTTTAGAGTCAGCTCATGTACATGGAGTCCCTACTGCGTGCTTGGTATTGCTGCAGACAGTTAGTTAACCCTCTGGGTGCTGCTATGAGATGAGTACTGTCCCCCGTCAGGTGGGAGCTTGAAGTGGTTTGGTGACTTGCCTGAGGTCCTACAAGATTGAAACCCAGCATTTCTGACAGGTTCAGGGCTTCTTCAGCATGCTCTGTATGCCACCAGGGAGAAAAACTCAATTCAGCGATAATCAGGAATTTACCAATTCTCCTTGTCACCCCCGTCTCTCTTTCACAGGAAGAGCACATGCAAATCTGCAGGGAGCACCACCAGAGTGATGCCTGAGGCAGCTGGACCCAGGATGAGCTGTCCTGGGGGAAGGGCATCATCACTTATATTCTTCCCCCCAAGCCTTTCCATCTAAATGAGGCTAAAAAGCCACAGAGCCGACACCTTGGAACCCATATGCTAGGTCCACAGAGACAACAATGTGGCCGTGCAGAGTCGCTGGACTCCATGAGATGCTGGAGGTTTGACTGTCCCCCGTATCTGCAACTCACATTGCTGACAGCCAGCCAGCCCAAGTGGTCATAGATGGCTCAGAAGAGGCAGCGCTGCTGCTCTGCAAAAGCATGGCCGAGCCATGGAGAAAGGCAATTTCCAACCTTTCAGGGTTTCCTGTAGGGTCTGTGCAAAGCTCGCCAACCGGTGGCCATCACTGTGATTCTTGCTTGGATTCTCGCTCCCCGGGAGGGTCAGGGCTGCCAGGTGAAGGTTAACAAGGGTCAGGTCGTGACTTCCCACCTGGGTAGCGGGAAACAAAGCAATAGGGAGAGGCTCAGAAGCTTGTATTTCCTGTATCCGTTACAACCAACTCATAAATGGCTTTGTGCAGTGTTGACAACGGTAAACAAGAACAAGGCTGGCTCACACCCCCAGGAAATAATCCAAGGTCTTTAATCTTCGATTTTTCCAAGGCGCCTGCAGGAACAAGAACTATTTTCTTCTACCACTCCACCCCTAACCTCCTACTTCCTACTCCTCCCTTAGAGCCTAAAAGATTGGGCCTCTGTAAATGTCTTGAGTTTTTTTCTTTCTTTCTAAGCAGTCATATATAAGAAGGAGGTGGGAAGCCAGGCATGGTGGCTTATGCCTCGAATTCCAATACATTTTTTTTTTTTTTCTGAGAAGGAATCTCACTCTGTCACCCAGGCTGCAGTACAGTCGTATGATCTCAGCTCACTGCAATTTCTGCCTCCCGGGTTCAAGTGATTCTCCTGCCTCAGCCTCCCAAGTAGCTGGGATTACAAGTGTGTGCCACCACACCCAGCTAATTTTTGTGTTTCTAGTAGAGACTTTTCCATGCTGTCCAGGCTGCTCTCCAACTCCTGACCTCAAGTGATGTGCCCGCCTCAGTCTTCCAAAGTTCAGGGATTCCAAAGTTCTGGGACACCAGGGATTACAGGCATGGGCTATCACACCTGGCCACAACCCCAAGCACTTTGGAAGGCTAAGGTGGGAGGATCACTTGAGGTGATTTGAGACCAGCTTGGGAAACATGGCAAAACTCCAATTCAATCAATCAATCAATCAGAGAAGGAGGTGACTCTGACAGCTGGTTGTTATTACAGACTTGGAGTTTTTCTCCACAGGGCCAGCCTGAGGTCTCCTGCCAGGACCCACTGCCGAGATCCACCACCTCCCACACATGCCCCTCTGTGTTCTTTGCTCTCTGGAGCCCACTATACCCAGATGTTCACTTTAACCTAATTTCAAATGTGTCCAAACCAAAAGCTTACAGAGCCTGGGCAGCTCGAACATGCCCCAGCCCTGCAACCCAAAGGGCAAGGGCAGAAACACGGGGGCAGAGTTTGTCTCTGGGCATCACAGCATTGCTCAGCTGCTCAGGGCTTAGCAATCTTGCCCTTCCGTTTGTCATGGCAACCAACACAGCACTGCCAGGAAGGGAAGGGGTTTAGGGGAAGCCCCCAGGAAGTGGAGGGTGCCAGTCTTATCTTACGGATGTGGTCCCAGTTTGCCACCACCCAGGACCAAGAGCTCTGCAGTGGCAATCCACCTGCTAGAGAAAGTATCTTAAGGCCGGGTTGGGGGCACGGTGCCTGAAGAGATGAGCCTCCTCTCTGCGCCGCACCACCGTCCTGGCCTAGAATGTGACGTGAAGTACAAGGGGCCAAGTGCCTGTTTAGGGGGCCGCTTTATTTAGAAGATTGGGGCTAATCAGCATTTTCTCATTAAGCCCTTGAAAACAGCCTGCCTTTTGGTGATACTGGCTGGTTCTGACCATAATACGGCCGATACTGGAACAACCATTTGACTGTTAAAAAAGGGGCCCAGGGTGGTGTGAGAAGGCTTGAAGGTGATGATACCTGGCTGACTTACACATCAGTACCACAGATACAACCCAGGGACACCCCCAGGTGTATGTGTGCAGACAGAGCCCCATCAATATCATAGACAGAGGTATGAGAGGGGGTGCTGGGTGCGACACATGCTCTGAGGGTGAGCACACACCCACCCTCATCAACTCACAGCTATGAGTGTGTAAGGTGGCTTGGGGGCTTGCAGCCTCAACACAGGGGTTGCTCCAAACCCTCAGCTGGCACATACCTCCTGGGCTGGGGTTTCAGATGACTGTCAGGCTCCAGAACTTCTCTGGAGCACACAGAAAGCAGGGGGGCACTCCTAGCAGGGGGCCCACACCCAGCAGGGGTTGTGCTTGCTGGGCTCCAAGGCACCGGACCTGCTTGCCTGGCCTGTGAGTTCACGGTCAAGGGCCATAGGGATAAGGCTCATTGACTGCCAACTTCATGACCTGCTTTGGCTTCTGCTGCCCAGCTTCTGACCATTTTGCACTTCATTAACACTTCCCAAGGGCATCGGGGAGAACCAGATAGGCTGCACTCGATCAATCTGCTGAGCTGCTCCCAGACTCTGAGAGACTCCCACACGGGCGATGCCAGTGATGGGGCTGCCCCTGGCCCACAACCCAGAGCTCCTCCTGAACCCCCTACAAACCCAAATGACCCCTTGAGGGGCCCCCCTCCCTGGTAATAAAGGAATCGGGCCTGAGACGCAGCTGAGAAGAAGGGGCACCTCCGGCCAGTTCTGCTGCCCAGGCATTCCCAAACACCAGGCCTTGTGAACCAGTGCCGGGAAGGTGAAGGATCACTGAAGGGGCTTTTGGAAAGCAGGCCATCCAGGGCCCCATTCCCCAAATTCTGTGTCTGGTGGGGTTTAGGAATCCCTGACTGTAGGAAAATCCCCCCCCCAGGAGACTCTGATGAGGGTCAGGTTCAGGAGCTATCCCGGATCTCCCTCCCTACCCCCTTTCCCCTCCCCCCTTGCCCTCTCTCCTGCCCAGATGCCAGAGTTACTGGGGCTGAAAGTCTCAAAATCCCTTTCATTACTGCCCCAGTCAAGTTCGCCTGCCAAGGAAGCCCCAGGAGAGATGAAAATCTCCAACCATGAGGGACTGAAATCAAGGCAAAAAGACGAGACTTCTCTTGTTCATGGTTTTATAAAATGAGACCTTTTCTTTCCTTTTTACAAAGAAGTGGATTCCACATCACAAACGGCATGGAGGGGTACCTTGAATCGCGCGAGGTATGGGCTGGGGCCCGCTGGCTTCCCGTGCCCGTTGCTGGGTGAGCTCTCCTGTGAGCCGGCATCTCTCAGCTCCACGCTGGCTGCTGCATCCCACAGGAATCCCGCATACCCGGCTCCCTGCAGTGGAGAGGGGGACAGAATTTTGGTGCCAGAGCCCTAGTGCTGCCTGGCGAAAGGAGGCAGAGAGGCCAGAGAGACTGAGAGGCAGCAGTCCCTGCTCTGGTTCAAGCTGCTTCTAAACCAAAAGCACACCATGAAAGCCACAGCCACTCTCCCTTGCCATTCCCCAGCCCAAATAATTTCACATATTTCCAATTTCAGAGCTTTCCATACAGCTACGGTGGCCTGAACTCTTCTGTCTTTGCGGGGAGGTGGGTGAAGCCTAGGCTAGGCGCAGAGTTATCTTCGGAATAATTGCACCCCATGAGGTCGCCATTCATGCTCCCATTTTCCAGATGAGGCCACCTCGGCTTAAAGAGGTTAAGTGACGTTCCTGAAATCCCACAGCTGATCACAATGCTGAGACTAAAACATGACTCCAAGGGATGGTTTTTGTTTACTGATTAGCTGCAGCTTACAATAAATGGTGCCGGCACCTAGTAAGAGCCCACTCAATGTTTGCTGGCTGAGTGGAGGTCACAGCTGACAGTCCTAATGGCTTGGGGCTGCTTGAGGGCCCTCCAAAGGTGGATGGGGCCACAGCTGTCGTGTGAAGCTTGGGTCAGAAGCACCAGGGCTGGCAGTGGGGCAGGGTCCTAGTGCCTGGTGTTAACCCCTGGGGCTCTGAATGTGCCTGCTTTGCACTGCTGCTGCCTCAGGGGGCTTGTGAAAGAACACAGGTTTCTCCTTCCCACCCCACCCCAGCCTCTGCTGGTTATGAGAGTGCTTCCTCTGCACCTGCTGTCTGGGAGCCATCTGCGTGTCATTGGAGGGGCCAGCAGTGCTCGTCACCACTCTTCCTCATTGCAAAAGCAGGGGAAGTGACTCTGCACAACCACCCTCCTGAGCAGCCACCACAAAGTCCCCAGGGTGAGCTCAGGTCTAAGCCACACACCTGCCAGGCTCAAACCCTTGTCTGAACATGCATGTTTTTAGGAGAAGGGAGGGAGGAAATAAATGTATGCTGTGCAATTCTATATTTGAAATTATCTAGCCAGGTGTGGTGGTTCACACCTGTAATCCCAGCACTTTGGGAGGCTGAGGCAGGGGGATCACAAGGTCAGCAGTTCGAGACCAGCCTGGCCAACATGGTGAAACCACGACTCTACTAAAAATATAAAAATTAGCCAGGCGGGCACTACAGGTGGTGGGCACCTGTAGTCCCAGCTACTTGGGAGGCTGAGGAATTCAGGAGGCAGAGGTTGCAGTGAGCTGAGATCGCACCACTGCACTCCAGCCTGGGCAACAGAGAAAGACTCCATCTCAAAAAAAAAGAAAAAAATTATCTCCTTGCCCACCCACTGGAGAGCATGCTGGTTTGGGAACGAGAAGACCCAGGCCTCAGTCCCACCTGAGTCACTTAGCTGTGGGACCCTGGAGGAGCCACTCAGGTTTTCTAAGCCTCAGTTTCCTCTGGTATGGAGGGAGGTAAGTATGACTGTCCTGCTGGCTTTGGAGGGTTGCCTCTCCATCTGCCGTTTCCTAAGCCATGGTTCCAGAGTAACTTACCTAAAGCATCACTCAAGTCATCTTCTGCCCAAAAGCCTTCAGGGGCTCCTGGAAGGCCCTGGAGGGGGAGCCCCTGCAGTGGGGCCTGCTCCTTCCTCTGCCTCCCACACCTGCTCAGCACTGTCTTCCCCGCCCCCGACACTTCCCTTCTTGCTGGTGCTGCTCCTTCCACCGCTGGTTTCTCGCCCCCTCCCGGGAGCCTTTCCCAATGCCTCTGACTTAGGCGCTCTCCTATCCTCCAGAACAGCAGCCGGAGGAGCAGGGTTTCCAGTCAGAGACGGCAAACTGGGCTCAGGTCCAAGCGCCGCCTCACATTGCAAAAGGGTGGCTTGTGGGCAAATTTCATCTTATTAGTTCTCCATCCTCACAGCTGTAAACCACCCCTCTGGCTATGGTGTGAGTCCTAGGGAGCTGGGGAGAAGATGCCTGGGCAGAATTTCAGGCACCGGAGAAATGGTCCCGGGGTTACCACTTTCTTATGTTTGTCTAGGGACAGAGATTGAACATTTTCAACCCGCAGATATATTCAGTTTGATTCACACAGTGTTTAAAATTTTTTTTGGATTATCTGTTCATCTTTAAAATTCAGGAAATTTCCCATTAAAATGAAACTAGGAGGTTTGGCCATACTGGGCCCAACATACTGCATGGTAAAAATGGGGTGGACATGGACCCAGCTGCAGCCAGAGCCAGGCATGAGCTCACTCAGTCCACCACAGGCGGCCAGCCTGCCACTCACACCCATCCTGCCTGGCCTTGGCTTGTGCTGTGTTAATGACACATTCTAACGCACAGTATCTTTTAAAATCCTATAGCCACCCTATAGCTGAGCTAAGGAAGGGTTATCGCTCCCATTTTACAGATGGAGGAATTGAGGCCGAGAGGTTTTGGTGGATGGAACTCGGGTCTCCCTGCAACCTCATTGTTTTCCAATGGCCTCGATACCCTGACCTGGAGCGGGGTTACCTGTGTTGCCCTCCAAAGGGCTGTGTGCTCCCTGGGGGAGGGGCCCGGTCAGGCTCCAGCGGGGATCCCCACTGTGTCTCCCAAAGAGTGAAAATGTGCAGGCCTGGATGGCTGGGGCTGTTTTTCTCCCCATTGTGTATCTGGCATGAAACATAATGCTTGCTACATAGCCACCTTCATTAATGATTTGTTGAATGAATGACTATAGTGCTGAATGGACTACAGAAGACTCATGAAGCTCAGACGCCTACATACATGTAAAGTGTGATTAGAAAAGGAAGGTAGCATTGTTCTTACTATTTCTCTGTGGACTGGAAGGGAGCATGGCGCACTAGACAAATTCAAGTTCAGCTTTATCTCCAGCCTTCTCTGAATGCATGCTGACTCACTGTCAGTGGCAGGGGCCATTTACACCCCAAACATAAAACCCAGAGGCATAAGATTTACATGCTCCTTTTTAAGTAGCAGCCAAAAAGAGAGTAGGGGCTTACTGTCAAAAAATGGCCACTTTTAATCCAGCATAGTTTTATGACTTAAGATGTTTGTAAGCATGACAGTTGTACAAGGGATTAAAAAAATCTGCATTTATAGGAAAATTATGTAATACTACATTTTCAACTCCGGTTATTATCAGGAGTCTGTTTAAAAATCTAAAACTCCACTGATGTTAAGCATGACAAGGTGAATAAATCTGGTCTTGAATAATAACATGAGGGGAAATGTGTATTTACAGAGATTTACCCTTACGTGCCTGTATGGGTGATACTGATGAAATAAAATTCAAAACCAAAATCTCCTGAACATTTCAATGATTTCTATGTTGAAATTATGTGCATAATTTCCACCACTAGAAGCAAATACTTCACATGCGAACTAAGGTGAATCTGAAGTTTTCAGTCAATGAGTAATGAGCTCTGCACAAACTTGGCAGAGGACAGAACTGTGGCGAAGGGATCAGAAGGACAAAGGACAGAAATACCCGCTTGTTGCCTTGGCCCTGGACAGGATTTCTCTCCTCCCAACACCCTAAGCTCTCATTTCCGTCTGGGCAGGAGTCCATTCCCGACCTAAACGTGAAACAAGAACCAGGGCATTTGGAAAGCAATGTCAAGGATTTAAAACGGGCAGAAATACAAAACTGCAGCAAGGATATTGACAAAGGAAATTTTTCAATGCCCTTAATTAGAGAGGAAAAGCATGTTTAAACTAAATGAAGACAAAGGCCAGGTTTTGCAGATGAGGGTACCTTCTGGAGCTGACTCGAGGGCTTCTCAGCAACCACAGCTTTCCAGCATCCCCGGGGCCCCTTCCACTTGCGGATGTTGGGCAGGGTCGGCTGGTTTAGCTCCATGCAGAACTGCAAAGACAGAGCACAGGTCAGTGTGGGTTCGCACCTAAAGCAGTCCCGGCTGGCGGCCTGAGAAGCCAGGCACTGCATGATTCTGAGTCATCAGCCTTCTTCAGAGACTGCTGAGCTACGTCCCTGTTCTTTCAAACACCAGGCCTTGCAAGACCCAGATGACTAAACAAGCACCACACATTAAAAAGAAAACTGCCTGTGTGCGAAACATCAAATTATCACCTGGGGACTCTCAGTTCACAGAAACGGATTCTCTCTGTAGCACTCTTGCCCAAACAGTTCAAAAAAAAAAAGTCATCAGACTCCTTTTCATCCTTGTAAAAGCAGCGGACTGAAGGTCCCAGGAGGATCTGGATCAGTGCCATCCAAAGAAGAAAAAAGATGGATACATCGTGCCTTTCTTTTTCCGGGCTCAGCTTAGTGGGGCAAAAAATGACCTCCAGCTTCAACTTGCACCACCATAGTGCTCGCCGTGCTTTCCTCCTGCTGCGGACGGCTGCTGCACCCATGTACGTGCACACGGCATGCACTTCTTTTGCTAATGCGTGTTTACCAATGTGGCTGTAAAGTGATTGTCACTGAGGCAAAATAAAATTGTACACAGTAGGATAAGGAGTGGAAGAACTCCACTTCAAAGTATAGAGACCCGCTCCTCTAACTCATGTCTCAAACACAACCCCTTCTCTTGGGGACGTACCCCCTTGTCCTTCGCAAGCCTTGGAGTACTCCACTCATTTGTCTCTCTACCCACCCCTCTGAGTGACAGCCTCTTGACTTCCTTCCCAGCACATCACCACTACGTTCCCTGAAGATCTCTCACCCAGCCCCACTGACGCAGCTGATACTTCTATCCAGAAGACCCCAGCATCTGTACCTGTTGCAGATTGCTCTCCTGAGTTTTTAACTGGACTTCCCACTGTCTCCTTAATATCTCCACCTGGAAGTCTCCTTAGCCCCTCACACCAGCAGGTCCCAAAGGGAACATGTTATTTCCTCCCTCACCCAGTACCCATCTCCGTCCAAGGCACTTCCATCCTTCCCACTGCTTGAACTCCCTCGCCTCCCGCCAGCACATTGATTCCACTGTCGCATGTGTCTGGAGTGCCTCCTTTCTGTTCTCCAGCCCACTTGCTGGAGCCTGTTTCAGAGTCCCATCTTCTCTTAAAGGTGCGGGGGGGAGGGTGCCCTGGCATAGCTTCTAAGAAGTCTGTCACTGGACCACCCTATAGCTCTTCACTAAATTAGTGTCATGGCCATGCTGATGCACACCTCTGTGGTCCGCAAAGTGTGGTCCAGGGATCAGTAGCCACAGCATCACCTGAGAACTTGCTAGAAATTCCCTGGCTCCATCCTAGACCTACTGGATCAGCAGCTCTGAGGTGGGCCCGGCGATCGGTGCCTGAACAAGCCCGCTAGAAGATTCTGATGCACATTTGGGTTTGGGAGCCACTGCGGCCACCCAGGTCCTCCCTCAGCTTCTGCCGCAGGTCCTGGCAGTGTGTGAGCAGCCACCGCCCTCCCAATGCCTCTGCTGCAGAAAGCTGCTCTCATGCCCTCTGGCCAGCCAACATCCAAAGGTCGGGAGAGCCCAGGGTCTAAAGGTCTGGTCTTTACCCTCACGTTGCTTACTTTGTAAGAGGGAAGATGAGGCACCAGCAAGTACTTAGCCTGTCATTTCTACAGGGACAAGCACGATGGAGAAGATGAAACCAGGGAAGGGGGGGCAGTGCTGGGATGTCTGCTTTAGAAATGGGCTATTCTAGGAGTGATGCTGCATTGCCAGTTAGTCACGTAAGCATCTGTCTCTCTCCAGCCGTGGACTCCACAGGCAGGGACTGTACCTGAGTCTCCTTTATAAACCCCCACCTGGCACAGAGCACAGCACCCAGTGATGCTTGCAAGCATCTGCTGGTGAATCAGAAAACTCAAGGCAAGATTGCAGTCTTCAAATCTGTGCATGACAAGCAAAGTGGGGAAGGTCGGGGTCGGTGGTGGAGAATTTCTCCTTAGGCTATTATCCAAGTAATTGCCTCAATTGTAACCTGACTCTTTGCATACAGCTATGTTCTATGCTGCTGAATTTGTCTGGAAAGCATTCTCTCTGGAATTTGGTCATCAGTGACTTTTATGAGTTCTACTTTCAACACTGCCCAGAGCAGAGTAGCTGTGGACAGAGTCACTGTTGACAGGGTGAAGGAGTCGGGAAGGTGGAGAGGGTGGGGTTTCACCCTGGATAAGTCCCCTTGGCCAGATGCTCCTGGCTGGAAGCCATCCTCAGATGGGAAATAAAACACTTTGGAAGATGCAGCCGGAATTTATTGACTGTAACTTTAGGGATCCTGCGAGGAAATGCACTTCACAAAGGGTCCCATTTCCTGCGGGCGAATCATTTGCTTGCTGAGTGATCATTAGTGCTGCATCCAAGAATCATTACAAACAGAGCAGCTCCCCAGTGCCCAGCTGGTGCTTCGCTGTTCTCCATGCAGGGAGTCCCAAACCTGGCTGCTCATCAGAATCTCCTGGGATGCAGATGTACCCAGGAAATCTCTATTTTAAGAAGCCCCACACCCACCCCACCAGGGGATCAGCCAACCAGGTAGATCAGAGAGGCCCAGCCTAGGGTGTGGGGGACACACCACGGTGCTGTGACTCACTGTCTGCAGGCAGCGGTGCCACCCACCAGGATCATTCTCCTTTTCCAGAAATCTACTCTCTCCTAACCCCCAGGAGGATCTTCCTTGAGATACCTGAGGACAGATGAATCTCCCATTCACACGCAAACTCCACCCCAGCTTAGAAAACCCCTTCCTGGTAACACCACTTTGATGGGAGGGGTTGGGAGTGTGAAGAGGTGGCCCAGGCTGACAGCACTGGTTTCCATGCCCACAGCTCTCACAGGTGGTCTTTGGAGCTGGTCACAGTGTGAGCACCAATGTCACCTGGGAACCTGTTCAAAATGCAAATTCCCAGGCTCTACCCCGACTTACTTAAGAATCTCAGGAGCGGGGCCTATAAGTCTGCATTTTAACAGCACCCCTTGATGACTGACATGTTCAAGGTGATTACATGGATGAAGAAAAGACATTCTCATTTTTCTTTGCTATTAATATTTAAAAACCTTTCACCCACAGGCAAGCTCTAGGAGCCCTAAGGGAGCAGAATCCCTGACCCCTAAGAGCCATCTTTATTCTGTACACCTGAAGCCTCAACTTAATAACCTCTCTCAGCCCACAGAGCCAATCACCCCTCCCTCTGCCCTCTTCTTCGGTATTTATGTTACTGGGGATCATTAATAACTTGAGAGACCAGGGAGATGAGTGTTTACGGCTACAAGCATCCTGTGTCCTAATTTTCATGATCAGAGTTAAGGAAGGGGTAGGCATTTTCTTCTATTTTTAGGACTCAAAAAAGAATTGTTAACTTAGCTATCTCCACTAACTGTTCACAGAAAACCTAAGACGGTAAGCACTTTTCAGACCCTTGTTACTCAAAGTGTGGTCCATGGACCAGCAACATAACCTCACCTGGAAGCCTGCCAGAAATGCACACTCTCAGGCCCGCCCAAGACCTGCTGCACCAGAATCTGCATCATTTTCTCAAGGCTCCAGCTGAGCTCTGAGCTTCTCAAGCTGGAGAGTCCTGCTTTAGAGCCTTCCTCTTGACCCGTACCAAGGCAGATGCCATTGCACACACCATCTTTACTTTTGCCGGCACAGCTCACACGAGGCAACTGCTACCAGTTATTCATGAGCACAGTGCTGCACAGAAAGGTTAAGTCCAAGTTCGAGTTCAAACTCAAAGTTACACAGTTAGCGGTAGGGGCTGGCTCCTGCTGCTGTACCTCCTGGCCTCAACAGGTGGAAGAGGGAAGGCAGGGCAGATTCAAAAGGGTTGGGGTTGGCCCCCCTCTACTGAATCTTTGGCTCCCTTCTCCCAAAAATTTCAAAGGAAAACAAAAGCATCCTCTGAGTGTTCTCAATCTGAACTCCACCTTCCATTGTTTCATTTAGAGCAGCTGGTTCTCACGTTTTTTGCTCTGCCCACAAAATGGAGAAATAATTCTCTTATGTAAAAGCAGCCCACCAGCGCAGAAAGGTCACAATGGAAGAGGGAAGGTTTGTGTTCATCACAAAGTGTCCCAGACCAGTCTGGTCTCCAAAGCCCAGCTGCTGCCACCCCACCCTCTCAGGGTTCTGAATCCCCGGTGGCTAACTCATCACCTATCCCCATCTGGTTCTTGTTTTTAAAACTTTGGATTAGTAGGCCCCATCCCTGATTGACCGAGTTTGCTTCTTTGAGATTCTGGCCAAGGTTTGTACTTCTATTTCCCCCAAGCAATTCTAAAGTACAGTTTGAGAAGCTCAGGCAAGGCTAGACAATTCCTGATATAGCACTCGGCTTTCCTAGTTTTAATTCCTGTGGCCTGGGAAGACAGCTTATATTATTTTAAACAAAGAAAAAATTTCCGCTCTCCTGGGACCGTGTATCTCAAAAGCCTCTGACTTGTGGCTGTTAACAGATAACCCTGTGAGATCATGTATGAGGGCAATACACTGAGCCTGCTACACTAGGGCACACAGTAGGCATGCAATGGGCATTCGTTGAATGGATGAATCAGTGGAACCTCTCCTAGGGATCCCTGCTTCTCTCTCCCAGAATCAGTTATAAGAGCTACCAATGGGCTTGATTCGTTTCTCCAGCATCAGACCAAATGGGGTGAAATCATCATTGTTTAACACCCATCCCATAACTAACTGGTTAGAAGGGAGAACACTTGCTCACTACCTCACCCTTGGGCTCCGCCACAAGCGGCCTCAAAGTCAGACATTTATTTTTAAAATTTTTAATTTTAAAGTGAAAGCCAGTTTATTAAGAAAGTAAAGGAATACAGAATGGCTACTCCAAAGGCAGAGCAGTGGCACTGGGCTGCTTGACTGAGTATAGTTAAAGTTACTTCTTGATTAGATGCTAAACGGGGGGTGGATTATTCATAAGTT